GCTAAGAAAAATACCACCTGAGGGAGATAATGTTTCTGATTATGGTATATTGGCCTGCAGAGTGTTTTTATTCTCTGAATTAGTCTAAAGACCAGAAACACACACACACACACACACACACACACACACACACACAAACACTGCACTACTACCACAGGAAAACAATGAGAAGCACAAGTCCTGAAACTGGTATCTGAGCAATGAAAGACAGTGAATATTTTAAAGATCACTGAATTTAATTTATTCAACCTAAATGCATAAAAGTACAGGTGGGGACATTATTTATGCAGGTATATGCAAATCACTTTATAAAATAGGCAAAGCCCTTCTGCTTTTTATAAGTTGCCAAGGTGGTTCCTGATATTTTAAAAAGCTCTGCACCTTTAATGTAATTTCCCCAGAGTTGGAATCCCTCTCTCAGAATCACGGTCATTGTCAGAGCACGTTTATTTATTTATTTTTTCCTCCTTTCTGGGACATTCACAAGGCTTTCACAACCTCACAAAAAGAGTCATTTCTACAGAAATGTGCCTGGAAAAATCTTTTGGAAATTGCTGAGGAGCAAGTCACAGTGTTCAAAGCAGAGAACACAGGCTTTGAAAACATGAACCCATCTGACCTCTTGAATTTAGCACAGTGAATTCCTGAGCTCTGAAACATGGGGCCCGGCTGTGCATGCCATATTGGTGCTATAAGACTGGCAGTAGGTTGGCTGTGGCATGGTCTATTTCAAACTCCTTCACAGTGCCCAGTGTTGCATGTTCCCAGATGACATTTGGTTGGCAGAAGTTGGGCCTCCAAAGCTGGCAGTCTGGAATGCAGCCCACTGTGTTTTGACAAACACATAATTGACCATCTGATCACCAGCCTACGTTCTGCACTCAGGTCACTGGGGGACCTAGACTTTCAGTAGGTCCCTATTCCTTGTCTTGTTCATCTTCTCAAGCCTTTCTCCAGAGAGCAATATAGAGAAGACTTAAACACACCCACGCACAACCTTTCATTTACAAAAGAGAACAGGGTACATGAAACAGAAGCTGCGGAAATTTTCCTTTAAACTGTCCTGGCAGCCCAAAGTGAACAAGAGAAAAGCACACTTATGGTGAACTCTAATTCAGAGAGAAGGAATGAATATCCTGAATTGTTTCAACACCCGGCTGTGCATAAGTTGCAATTCAGTTCAATGGCTTGGAAATTCTGCTTAGAAAAAAAGGCAGCAATGGGAAAATGATAGGAAATTGGAGCATTGATTGACTTTGGGGATGTTATTAAGAAACAGTTTCTTTCCAGGTGATAGAGGAGAAAAGCAGGACAGCAAATATCTCCTCTTTATCTGCCTTGCTCCCATGCCAAACCCACCAAGGACAGAGATAACACCCGCCGTCAACTGCCCACGGACCAGGGAATAGTGACAGGGAATAGATTCAAATCAACATCTCCAGTGAAGTTACCATAAGAAAGCATTTTAGTCTGAAATTTGGCCACACAAAGTATCAGCCTTTCTCCTAGAGGGCAAAGATTATGCAGTTGACCAAGATATGTTAGAATTATGCAAATGTTCAAGCCTATGACAGCACCACCGAATAGCTTCTCCTCTCCATTCCACCCCTACTGCACAGTTCAGGTCCTTGGTTTTCACCTTTGACCTGGTCTTTCTATTCTCAGCCAGTCAACGCTTCTGTCACCAGAGTACTCTTTTTGCATCATAAATCTGCTGGAATTCTTCAAAGCCTCCTTGAATCTGCTGCAGCAGGTCCATCTCTTTTGCATGGCACAGATGGTTCTCTGCAGTCTACTCCAACCCCAGCTCTCATGTTCCTCTTTCAACAACCATGCTTCAGCCACCAAGCTACTCAGCCCCTCAATAGGGATGTCACTTGGCATTTCTCCTTATTTTTTTTTTTTGAGAGGTAGGGTGATTAAGAGAGAGTTCCTAAATGCTGGTTCACATCCCAGTGCCTCTAGCAGCTGGGACTGGGCCAAATTGAAGCCAGGAGCTGGAAACATATAAGTGATAAGGACCCAAGTACTTTAACCATCATCACTCTCCCCAGGGTGCATATCCACAGTAAGTAAAAGTGGAAATTGAATCCAATGAGACCTAGGCATCTTAGGAATTGAACCCAGTATGAGACACGGGCATCCTAGCCAGCATTTGAACTACTAAATCAAATGCCAGTCAGCTGTCTCTTGACTTTTTAAATACTTAGTTTTTTCCCCGATTATGATCCTCTTTCTCTTTCCCTTATTCCACATCAACACGGTAAACTAAATTTTATCCTTTCAACTCTAAAATATTATATGGAATCTTCTCATGTCTAAGCAGGTACTCCTTTCTCATTCTCAATATGTTTTGCATGCACTTGCATTTCAGTGCCTATCACATGGTACAGTCTTTTTGCCTTATTTATCTCACATATTATAGTGTGAGATTCTTTGTACCAGGAAGCATTTCTTACTTATCTTGGAGTTATCTGAACCAAGCATGACAACTAGCATTTTATAATTGTTTGTTAATTAAAATTTATATAAAGATCTATGCCTGATAGTAGAAACTAAGTCAAGTAAGAGCATGATAGGAAAGTATTAGTAATCTAATGGAGGCTGATGATTCCAACAGTAAGTTGCTTAGTGATGGTTATCACAGAGGGCAGCTAGAGTGAGGGATGGGTGCTTTGATGGAGGAACTTCATTTTTACTGAGAATATCACCAGGAAGAAAACGATTCAGTTCTCAATGCTGAAAGATTTCTATGCTGGTGATGGATCACAGTCTATAGTGCACACAGACCTCACACCAACTGGATTTCCCAAATGGGGCAAGTCTGTGCCTCCTGCTTCAAGACAGGGTGGCAGGTGATAGAGGATTTCTCTTTGTTTCTGTTTAAAAGGAATGGAACAGAAAAATCTTGGGGTAGTGCCTGGAATCTATTCAGTTCCCATTGAAATCTGGACTGGGACACTGGACTAAAGGGAGTGCCAAAGAGGGGAGGTTGGATGGGTTGTATTTTGCACCTGTCTAGAGACCATTAAAGCGCTATTTGGAACTAGAAGCACTGGGGATATAATGTTCTGAATTGTTCCAAAGGAAATTTTCTTTTCCTTTTCATGGGCTTCTGGGACACCACCCTGGAGCCATCAGCTGTGCCCATGGGGCAAGTGAGGACAGCAGAACTGTCACAGGCCCTGTGAGCCTGTTGACATATGGGCAGCCTTGGGATTTGGAACAATCCAAGCAAGCATGAAGCTTGGCCCAAGGGAAGGAAGAGGTCATGAGGACATGAATGGATTATCAGCTCACTACAGAACTTTCTCCCAGTCTTATCACTGGGTGAAACACTTAATTTTCCTAGAAGCTGCTTGACTGGTGGTTGGTATAGAATAGAACGAGTGTCACACTCTGTTTTGAGCCAAGGGTAGCCATTCAATTATGGTTTTTATCTCAAAGGCCTCCCCCTCAACTTCTAATCAGGGACACGGTCCCTAGTACTGCTTGTGTCTAAAGCTTGCCATATACAGCTAATGTCATAATAGCTGAGCCAGGCGGGCAGAAGTGCACCGTGCTGACTCATCCCGGTGATGTGAGGATTAATGTCTTGTCTAACGCAGAGCTATTATGTGAACTGTTTTTATACAAAAGGATTGTAACAGAAATGATTTGCCAGTCAGAGGACTAGCAATACACAGTGTTGGGTGACTTAGTGAGTATAAAGTGGTAGCCATAATCACACACCTTAACATCCTCCAAAGCACTTGCAGATCCGCTCTATCTGCACAGAGAATATGGAATCAAGAGACTTGTCAAGAGCAGGTAGGACCTACCCCTGTTGTAAAAATGCATTATACACAGCAGCAGTCCAGTCTTTGGGGAAGTTTAATCAATCCCCCTCCTCTGTCAAATACACTGTTAGGGCAGACCTGAGTTTTAGCATCCTGGGAAATTCTGCTCCCCAAAATCTATTTGCCACTGGCTTCTGGGAAATATTCCTGGAATCCACACAGAGTGAGACAACCATATGAACCTCCTTTCTGTGCAAATGGTGACAGTAAAAGAAATATCTTAGAGTGAAAAGCAGTGTAGAAAGATACTGTTGTAAATAAGGGACAGCACTCACCACAGTGACACGTGGCCACAAGAACGCCGAGCATTACTGACCACATTAGGTGACCCTTACTACTTATAGACCCTCTCAGGTGGTGTCGCTTTGGGTGACTGATTGCTTGGGTTCTTGACCCAGACCCACATTCAAATAGCTTAATGTAAAATCTACACAAACCCACTTGGTGTGGCCTAGTTTGGGCTTTATATAACATTTTTTTATATGAACCTGAAAGCAAGTTTATTACTTTTTTCCTAAATGTCTCTCCATATTTTCTCAAAAAAAAAAAAGAAAGAAAGAAAAAAGAAAAGGAAGAAAGAAAGAAAGCACCCCCCAAACACCTCTTGGTTCACATGAATCCTGAATTTATTTTTTCTGCTGTAGTATTTATAATCTGTTTATAATCTTTAAACAAATTCTAACTTATTTTCTTTTCAGTCTTGTACTTTTGGTGAAAGGATGGTAGAAATTCCATTAATAAATAACAGAAAGCTCTGATCTAAGAGCTAGAAACTACTAGCCCTAAAGATGCATGCATAACTGAAGAATAAAGAATTGCTCATTGATGGTCAGTGTAGCAAAAGCCCAACTGTTGCTGCTGTCCTGACTGAAGAATGTAAGCTGTAGTTTCCAAGAGCAGTGACTTCTGCAAACAGCAGCTGCAGCCAAGTGAAGGACTGTCTTTATAAAAGTAAAGTGTTGGCCCCTCGGGTCTTTCCAGCCTCGCCCTGGAAGGCAACTCACTGCTACCACCAACGCCATCAATGCTAAACACGAAAGAAGCTAATGCACACTATAACAGCAAGAGAAACCACACAAAATTCACTAAAAATGCCAACAAACACCAACATTTTCCAAATCTGACACCTTTTGAAAATGTAAGGAAACCACTTTTACTTACACAAAGAGAAGGGACAGGTCACAGACTGCTTGTCAAGGAACTGTAAATCAAAGAAAAAATAAGGAATTAGAAATAAGCCCAATGATACGGTGATGAAAAGAAAAGTAAATCTAAGCATCAAAGATGGACTGGTTCTTGTCACACTGAGCCCACTTTTTCATTTGTGACCCCAAAATAAAGGAGATCCGGACTCAAAATTTCCCTAGAGGTATCATCCCCTGCTCCAATGACCAGCACACTCATTGCCAAGATTTTCCTCTGCTGATTTCATTCTGCTCTATAACATACAGAATTTTGTAGAGCCCTTCTACAATGCAATAGAATCCATGTTTGTCTGTTGGAATCTAAATGCTGAAACATTTCATTACATACTGCACGTTTTGTGACTCAGTCACACTAACCATACTTTAAGTGTTTTGTAGCAACATTTGGCTAATGGCTAATGTCTACCTTACTGGACTGCACAAAGGCAGGATATATACTAAGCATTGCTGAGAGAGCTCAGTTAGACAGTCCTGGATAGGGTAGATGTTGCCTCAGAGTACATCACTGACTTTGGGTCTCTGAAAGTAAACTTGCTTTTTTGTGTTAAAGACCAATCCCCATTCCAATGATGAACAAATTCATTACATGTGTTTGTATTTTGCTGTTGAGTGTGACTTGGCCATGTCAACCTCAGTGCCTTAGCTTCCATTTCTGACACAGACTCCTCTACCACTTCTCACCAAACTAGGAACATACCCACTAAAAGAGGAAATAAATTCATCCAGTGACTTTAATCCAATGCATCTCTTTCCCCCTATATTTCTAAGGATAAAAATTTAGATAAAAACGAACTGTTTTGCATCCTATGTTTAAAATCTACTTTGCTTACAATTTTTAAAGCACAAGGCCTGTGATGGGAATGGCCTGCCCACCTTATTTCTATTGATTCTCTTATATAAAAGGATAAAAGTGGGAGCAACAGAAGATGCAAAAGAAATTAATACACCAAACAAAGATGTTGAGAAAACAAAGCAGCATCCCTTCCTTGGCTCCATAAAATACACCAAAGACTTAATATATGCTGATTAATGCTTATCTCTCTGACATCATGATTTTTAACCAATTCACAGAAGGTTTCCAAAAAAATGCAAAATAAATTTTATTACAGGAGATCAAGCAGAAGAACCTGATCAAATAACTGCACTGAAAAAGGCTAATGCAGAAAAATAGCAATTATAGAAATTTAAATGCCAAAAGTTTTGTGGACAAATGCACCTTGGTAATGACTTCTCCAAGGAAATGGTTTCCTCTATGGGGTCAGTGAGAAGCTGTCCATGTCTGTGGGTGTCAAATGTGACACTCTGCTTAGAAAGCAAAGCGAAGATGAGAATCTACAGCCTAGATCACAGTGCATGACAACAAGGGAAAGGCTGGGCATCTCCAGCACTTTCAACTGTTCACAAAATGGATGAATTCAATGTGATTTTTAAACATGATAATTATATTGTGTAAGATTTACTGAAAATGCCAACAAACCTGAAATATTAAGACTATAAGACAAGATTGGGTAACAGTCTATAAAGCTCTAAGTTTGCTACATTCTAGACTTCCCCTCATGCCAGGATGCTAGATTACTATATCTTTTCTTACTCTTTCTTCCCTCCTTTTCTCCTTTCTGTACCCTCCCACTCTCACTTTGAGCTTTTTTTTTATTATTAAAACTTTGGGGAAAAGGAGAAAGTATAGTTATCAGTTTTTAATTAAATATTTTCCATGGTCACTTTGCTGGTGCATGTCATAAATCTAAATATCTTTCTAGTTTACTTTTTCTAAACCACTCTGTGTTAATGTTCTTATACCCAGCAAAGTTCTCTTCTACTTGTCAAGGAGAAATGACCATAAATTAGTTAAAGTTAAAATTTCACGTGATCAGAAGGGATCAATGTAAATTGTACCCAGACTGACTATTATAACCCAAGGTTGGGAATGAAAAACTGCATTTCCTGGTTTAAGTGACACACAGGCTGTCAGTAACAGGAATCCAAGATGGAGAGAAAAATCAGCGTATGTCACGGCCTAAGACAAACTAAAGCCAAGTTAAATTAGAGATTATATTGGCTTAATTGAATTGTAGTCCTTATACATAAACAACAACAACTACCATGCTGATTCCAAATTTAATAGCAGAGCTAAAAATTTAATTTCAGAGTTTTCATATAGTTCATAATGTTCATAAACATAAAAAACCCTACTTCTTGATTGAATTACAATCTGCTATGCAATTTTGAGGCCATGTATTAATCTACATAGATTTATTTTTTTCAATTCAAATAGTTATTTTATCAATATGTGCCTTTTCCACTTAAGTGATTTTCACTTCACATGTCTACAAGTTGCATTATGTGAAATGCAAAGAATTATCTATAATAGCTTCATATGAGAATAAAAATATTTGCATCAAGCATGCTGGGTTCAAAGCAAAAGAATTTAAAATGGCAAAGACTAAGTAATTCAGGAGATTAAAACCTGGTGGTCAGGAAAGAAGGGAGGAGGTGGTGACTGGGAGTGAAGTCTAATCTTAATTTTGAGATTTCTGAGTGGAAATTATTATAATGCAGCAATCTCCAAGGAACTGGAAGTATTATTAATTGTAACTGTAAAGATTAATCAGTTCTAATTTCAATTTACATAATGTTCTAGGGCAGTGGATCTGAATGTGTTCAGGTGATACAGATCCTTGGGAGAATCTCTTTCTCCTGAAAGCTCATTCAAACACCAAGTTCCAAGCAGCTGTCAGATATCATGCCGATTACTGCATGATACATGCAGAAACTGCAGGTGAGTCATCCTCAGCCTCGGCAAAACAGAGGAGAAAATCCTCTTCCAATCCCATTGGTCATTGCCTCTAAGAAGCTCTTGCAAAATCTTGTACACTAAAGCCAGGAGCCAAGAATATACAGATAAGAAGGGAATCAAGTGGTCGAGGAACCATGCTGGAGGGGCTCCTTTAAAGTTTCTCCAAATGCCCACTTCCCAAGCTTCTATAAAAATCCCTTAAAGCCTTAGTCAGAACAGGCAGCAGGAGTGTAGAGCAGAGAAATGATACCAAGAGTCAGTTATCTGTGTTGAGTCCTTTCTGTGGTCTCACGCATCCTGCTCAATGAACTCTGGGATATGGGTATACTCAGGGATGTGGAGCCGTGTAATAGGGAATATACAAAGCCAAAAAAGTAAATAATAAAGCCATGGCTTTCTGAGGGGGCTGGTTTCTTTTGAGTAATTTAAACTTTTTTTTGTATAGTATCAATGTCTGCTTCTTCGGATGCCACAAGAAAAACAAAACATATCCTGTTCTTGGCCTCAGAGAGCTTCCAGTTTAGCAAAAGCAAAATAAGAATGAAGGGAGGTGAGAAAGCAAAACATGTATGTATTTTTAGGGTGAAATCTGAGCCCTCTCTGGAAGGTGTTGTGTGCAGTCAACTGCTTCAGGCCAGGTCTGGGCAGGCACCCTCAGGGCTGGATCACTGGCTGCGGGTCACACAAGTTGGAGAGCTAGAGTATCAGTGTTAACAGTATGTCATTTAATCCTCACAAGAGAAAACACTGTTGCTTCCAATTGACTAGAGAAAAAAGGGAGATTTGAGAAATTAGGAGACTTACCCGAAATCACACAGCTGCTGGCATCTGACTGAGTCAGAACCATGCCAAAGTCTACAAATTTTAACCACTAAATTACACTACCTCTAGGTGTTTCCCACTTGATGTTTCCCCTTGAAATCTGGGCTCATTCAGGATTATACAGCCAAGTTTAAGCCTCTCTTTGGAAGACACAAGTTTGGCTTGATTTGCATTCTAAATATTTCACAGTGGTAAGGAAAGCTATTATTATACCCATTTTATGGTGAGGAAGCTGAGCCACTTGCCAGCTGAGGTATCTGGCTGGGTTAAATACAGAATCCACATTGTCAAAGTCTCATTCCTCTTGACTAACTGAGCCTCGGCAACATTGTCCAAGGGCTTTTCTGTATATGGAATTCACAGCAGGTGACAAAGACTGACACTAATTTTGCAAAGAAAAAACAACAAAAACAGTGAAATAAAAAATAAAAAATAATAAGCCTCTTACAGAAACTGGTTACTTAGAGTTTATTGAGTAGAAAAGGGAGAATCTATTCATCATAAATGAATCAGAAATTTAGAATGTGTCATAGCAATGATGACAGAACTGAGGGATTCAGACAAAGCAAAGTTCAGCACTTATCCTTCAGCTGAACAGTGTGCACGGTGTGACAACAGGACAGAAATGACTGCCTTGACTTTCCTTTAATCCTTCCAGATTTTTTTTTCCTTCAGCTACTGTCTCTACAAGTTAAATGAGTTTACATCTTTGTTTTCTATGCATAAGAAACAGCATTTCAGCATCCTTTGACATTCTAGAAGTATTGTGTTGATTAGTTCTTACGTAGGAGTCATTTCAAACAGTGGAATAAAGATTTCTACCTTAATGATTTTCCTAAGACTTTTCTCTCCCAGTATTTTCTAAGAATTAGACACTAGTGGATTTTTGAGATTTGTATGTCTCTCAGAGTAAGTGCCAACGTCATAGATCCCTGTCGATTGATATTCCAATTTCACTAAGGATACAAGATTTCCTTCAGCTGACAGATTCAAGAAATTTTATGCCAGATTTAGTGACATTTCATGCACCTTGAATTTAGATTTTAATCTTGATTTTCTAACTGGCAAAAGGTTCACAAGTTAAACTCAGATGGAATGGTTATTCATCTCTCCTAACAGATTTCATACACCTCACACTAGGGGCTTCAGGTCTCCCACAGACCTGTTTCTTGAAGACTTTTCATTCTTTCGATCAATCACAAGAAGACTATTAATGACACACATGGCCATTTATATCCATGGGTCCATTTTTCAAGAATGTATTATTGTGAATCCCCCTTGAGAACAATGATAAGAAAGTCCTAATGAAGCATGATTGTCCTTCAGATGCCATGATAGCAATCCTGAAGGGTGTCTCCCTTCAAAAATGTCTATCAT